AAAACCAACCAAATGCCAGCATATAGTTTCAAGTAGTATAACTAAGAGAATTACCAAAAGGCATTGTTTATTTTTACCCAAAAATGATGTTTTAACGGATTTTTCTGCTGGCATTCTAAGCTGTATGTCAATGGGGCAGGAAAGTAGGTCATGAAAGTAGGTTAAATTTACAACCAAAAACTTAAAGAAAGGAGCAGTCTAAAGGTCTTTTATGGCTGATCAAGTGATCTATTCAGTTTATCCCTTGGCATGTCGAATTTATTTGAGTCATATAAGAATCTAGTAGAAGTGGTTTACATGTGTTACTGGGAATCCACGCTCCACCGATGCTCGGTTCGTATGTACCTTTAAGGTAAAAGGTTAATATTACGAAACAACATTCATCGCCTTTTACCCTCTTTGTTGATTGAAACATTTTCTACCAAAAAAAGTATGCTAAAGAAAACACTGAATCTTTAAAAATCACATTATTATCATCCTTGAACATCAAGGTTTTAACTATTACATGATTTTTCATTAAAGTTGGAAAATTTAGTCTGAAAAATGCAGAGTCAGACCACTTCAGGAGATCCAGTGTAAGTGCTCACCTTCATCGTCACTGTGAACCCAAGCGGAATATTTAAAATCTAAAGAAAATTGAGATGTGTTATTAAGACAATGCAAGCTCTCCAACAAGATTTGAAATTAAATGCCTTACATATCAAAGATGTTGTTGCTCATGTAAGTCTAAATGTAAATATGCAATTTGTATGAAGAAAATGGTTTCTGCCTAGCAATGTACAACAAAATCGGAAAAAAAATTAAAGCACCCAAGTTCCATTTATTGCTAGCTGTACCTTAAGAGTGTGGCTCTTTGGGTGTGTCTGCTGGGCACTATACCCACCACTTAAATTGTCTGTCGTTGGTCATTCAACTTCCCTGGGACTCTAAGGAACATTTTACAGTTATTTTTAGATTAACTTTTGGTGCATGCTAGCCGGATTTCCACCCCCTATAAATCAGGGTCTGCCGGCCACACCCCACCACTCAATTTGTCTGTCAGTATCTATTTAATATACCTGAGACCATGCTAAAAGAACCCCAATAGGTTTCTAAGGGTTCCCCTAAAAAGTCTAGCTAGCTGGATTTGAGGGTCTTTGTTTTGAACTCCCCACCTCGACCACACCCACCACTGGAAATACGGCAGACTGACATTTTCATATAAAGGTAAGCATGTAGGTCATTGCCAGGTACAAAAAAATTGGTAATCTTTCGGGCATACGCAACCCTCTTGAATCCTGCTCTACTATACTTACACTCTTGATCTGAAAGAAAAGATATTGTAGATGAATAAAGATTATTAACTTTAAAAAATGTGAGCACCCTCCTACTTTTATTGAGATATAAGGTTTTTAAATATCTTTTAAAATATCCTTAAAATATTAAAATATCTTTAAACATCTGGGGAGTATTTGCCAATGTAAAAATCTTAATGAAAATTGGAAGTTGAAATTGGATAAACTGTTTCCAATTTGCCATGTTAACCAAAAGTGCACACAAATTATTATCGAAACACTGCAGTTTAATGTTCATAATTTAAAGGTTGACATGGGTACGTTTTGTCATTTCTTGATTTCTTCAATACTTACATTCTCTGACTGAAAAAAAACATGTTGCAAATGTAGATTGATGAATATAAAATGGTGAAAAGTCTACTTACTGTAAGATTTCGTCCTGGCATTTACAATGTACAAGTCTTATGTATAACTTTACCGTTTGGATAAAATGGCTCCCGAATCACAAGGTTTACCAAAAATCTACACAATTATTTAAACAAGCACTACAAATCTATTTTACCTGTTAAAAGGGCTGGCAAATATATCTGTAAATGTGTTCTAATTTTATCAATACTTACCACCAAAATCCCCTGGAAAAAATGTATTGTAGATGAAGATAGATGTAATATGAATAAAAATTCCACCTCTTGTAAGCTTTTCTCTAATTGAGATATCAGTTTAATATCGTTAAAAATCTAGAATCTAGTTGCTTTTGTAAGTCTTTATAAAATCATTCAATTTTAGAGTATGCATAAAATGATTTCCAATGATCTCCCAAAATCTTACAAAATTATGTAATCAAACTACCCCATTCCTATTTTCTTTTTTTTTTAAGTTGACTAAAATATATATAATTGTTCCTGGCATTTTTCATACTTACGTGTTGTTCTCCTGACTGAAAGATAAAACAGTGAAGATATATATATATTATAGAATGAGATTTCACATATTGTAAGTTCTCTTTCTATCCTTATCGAGGTATGAAGTTAAATGTCGTAGGGTTTCCAAAATGTAGTTGCTGGTGTAAAAAAATCGTTTTGAAATTATGCAACTATAGCATTTTGCTAAAAAATACTGCCAAATCACAATCTTCACAAAAAGCTTACAAAACAATTTTAACATTGGTAAAACATAGTTCATCTTCCCTTTTTAATGATATAAATGCCTTTTAATTTTCCTTGTTTCCTCAATACTTACGCCTTGTCACTGAAAGAAAACAATATTGTAGATGAATACAAATGTAACATTAATGAAGGTTTCACTTAAAACATTTACACGCCTAGAATTTAGTTGCCTCTGTAAGTCTTAATGATTATATGCAATTTTATAAATTATATGAATACAGTGGTTTCTGCTTTACAATGTGCAAAAAAAACATACAAAGTTATGTTATCAAAGCATTCCAGTTTCATTTTCCTTTTTAAAGTTATCAAGACCAAATGTCATTGTACAAACTTACATGTTCTTGACGTTACTGAAAGAAAAAATATCCAGATGAATATAGATTTATATTGAATTTTTAAATTATGAATGCATTATGAATTTTAAAATCCCACATATTGCAAGATCTCATACCACCTTTATCCAGGTTTGGAGTTTAATACCTTCCATATCTTATAAAATGCAGTTGCTCATGTAAGTCTTAATGTAAATATGCAATCTGTATGAATAGAATGGTTTCTGCGTAGCAATGTACAACAAAATCGTACAAAGTTATGTTATCAAAGCATTCCACCTTTATTTTTTTTTAAGTTAACAAGAATATTATCCATTGTTTCTGCTTTGTACATAGGCCTACTTAAATGTTCTTGATGTTACAAAGAAAAAAATATTGCAGATGAATATGGATTTATGATGAATGAAATTCCATTCATTGTGAGCTCTCCTCTTACGTATACCCTTATCGAGTTATGAGGTTTAATATATTCAGATAACTAAGATGTACTTGATTAGGTAAAATTATAAATGAAATTATCCATATCGGAGTTTGGATAAAATGACTATCAGGTCACGATGTTTCACCCTGAGCTTCAGAGATACTAGTAAGCCTCTTCACTATAGCCTATCTTCATCGTGTCAAGTTACCTCTGACCACATTCGATTGCCCGCACCGCCCGCCAATCAAATTTAAAGCCCGCCCTCAATGACACATTGAACGATCTAGCCAATAAACGTGAACGAGTCAAAGCGCGCTTTGTTCAAATCCGGACCAATCAAAGATAATGCTGAATATCAGGGACTCGCCGTAACCTGTGGACAGTACGCAAAATACGTCATCCCTCATCATCCCTCAGTAGATAATGATGCAGGGCCTCAAACTGCTCTGGTTTCAATTCCGATATACTCATATTTTGCAAAGAATCAAGAGATAACTTAACACATTCTTTTACGTAGTCACTGGTAGGAGACGCCATGCTTTTTTTTTTTGTGTGTACGGTTATGCACTCGGAACTACTCGGATGTCTTCGCACTCGACAATAACATCGTTGTTAGTATGGAGCTTGCGGAATCAGCCGAGGAGTGCCGATTGACGGTAATGCGGACGCAACGAAATACAATTTTCTCGTTGGACATAATTCTGGACTTTCAACCAATCAGCGTTTCAACAAACTTTGGTGAAAATGTTTGAAACATGGATTCGATTGGCTTATATAAACTAGGTCAAACTATTTTCGTCAGAAGTAACTTGACACGATGAAGATAAGCTATTGTGAAGAGGTCAGTGTCAAGTTATCTCTGAAGCTCAGGGTGCCATGTTTGCAAAAAAGAGTACACAGCTATGTTTTCAAAGCACTGCAGCTCGGTTTATATTGTGACAGGATGTCAAATTTATCTTTTACTGTTTTTTGATTTACTTAATGCTTACCCTTTCGTTAATTGGATCTCAGAAATGCTCTATGAGTAGGTAGAATTAATGCTTACCCTCTCTTTCCATTTTCACCTGTCAGCCTCCTCTCACGTAGAACTTGACTAAATGTTAATAAGATGAGAAATGGGTTCGACGTCTGTCTGACTTCACAATGTGGGTACTACTGGACGAGAAGACCTAAGAACAACGAAAGTGCATTTAAATGTCGAATTATGCCATTAAGAAATCAGTGTTAATTTTATGAAAAGTGGTTGAATTGTGATTTACATATGGAATTATGCCATTAAGAAGTTAGTGTTTATGTCATAAACGTGGTTGAATTGTGATTTACATGTGGAATTATGCCATTAAGAAGTTAGTGTTTATGTCATAAAAGTGGTTAAATGGTGATTTTAAATTATTTCTAATCTTATTAAAAGCATTTCCACAGTATATCAGCCAAAAAAGAAACGCAAGTTTTTTCCCCCTTTTTTTGGTTTTAATACGCGTTTTCATACATGTATAAGAATTGTGCATAAATGGTAGTGTATTGTTCAGGAACACGTGTGCCCTCCCCTGGCTGCTGTAATACAGCCTAGTACCATCCTCATGGACCACCAAAAAAGCTAAAGTCAGTTCCTTAGTTGACTAGGATTTCCTTCAGGGTGTTGTTATGTCACTGAATACAGTGATCATTACTTGACTAGCATGTGCAGTTTTCGGTTATTTTGAATCACAATGTCAAAACAAAAACTTTCGTTTCTTTTTCTTTTTTTTTGGGGGGGGGGGAGCAGTATGTAATAATATTACCTAATGAACTAAACCGTTAACAAAAAGAGTTATAATCAAAAATAATAAAATGATAACATACTAATATAACATACTAAAGTCCAGATTCATAAATAAATATGAAATAAAAAATACATGAATAACTACTGTAGGTTAATTGAAAAGGCAGATAATGTGAAAGGTGTGTTGATAATACTGTTGCTTACAATGGTTTACATCATACTGTACATTTAACAGAATCCATGTATTTTGTTACCAATGGCAATTTTTCTTCAGGTTCTTTGCCTTAATCATATACCTTTCTTGAGATTCTTTGGGGCATTAATATAACAGTACTCAAATCAAAACATAAGGTAACCAAGTTTTTTATAGCACGTTCTTAAAAGGCAGTAACCCATCCTTAGACAGGACTAACACGAACTGGGAGATAAGAATCGAGGCCTTGCTTTGAAAAGAGACGTGATCTCTGATTTACACTGCACCTTTTACGTATACTCAAGAAGCCGACCTGCAAACATTTCAGTTTAAGATAAATCATGTTATCTATTTTAATATCGGCTGGAGAAAATGAGGCTCACTGAGTCACGGTTATGTACCTTTTGCCAAATTGAGACCGAAAAATCCATACATTTATTATTGGAATGCGTTCACGTACAGAACATATGGGCATTCTTGAAAACGATGAATTACAGCTCCAGTGGAAACTAGAACGGTTA